CCCAGTAGCATTGCCCACCTGCAGCCAGCCTTACAGAGCTTCTCTTGACATCTTTCCCAAGGACAGGTGATTGTGACACTCTTATTCCATCACACTGGCACAAAAGTTGTGGGAGAAACCAACAAATATTTGATTGGATTTAAGTCCCACTTCATGAGAAAATCAAATACTGCTGCTCTGCTAAAGGAGCATAGCATTATGACTCCTAATGGCATTGCCCTCTTCTCATAGATCAGTGTCTTGCTGAGCCACCATCAGAGAGGCTTCCTTTGGCAGGGAATGGGAACAAATACAGAGACCCACAACTAAACAATGTGCAGAGAGTGAGAGACCTTAGAACACTCAGTCCTGTGGGATGTCTCCATCAAATCCCTCCCCTCAGGAATCAGGGATCCATGCAGAAGAGAAAGCAGAAAGACTGTAAAAGCAAGAGGAAGATAACAAAGAAACAGTGTTTTCCAGACACAACATGGATGAGTGCACATGAACTCACAGAGATAGTGGCATCATACGCAGGTCTAAGCCAGATAGAGCCCAGCACTGAGAGGGGAAGTGAACACAAGATCCTGTCCCTAACCCCGAAGCCATCTCCTATCGACAACCACTCACTAAGTAAAAATTAGTTTTCTCCAACAGAGCCTCACTGAATACACAAATTACACTTAAGGGCAGGCCCTTGTCCAGCAGTTGATGGCCAACACAAAATGAACTCAATGGTATTTTTAGAGGGATTTTGTTACATAATGCTTTATCTGGGCATTTTATAATATTGCAGGTCTTTTGCTTATATAAGATTCCAATTTTGTTCTTTCATGAGATTAATGTGTGTGAAAGTTTGTGTGTCTCTGTCTCTATGCTTTTTATGCTTTTTCTTTGGCCCATTTTTGTTTGTTGGTTTGTTTGCCATATTCCACTTTGTTCATTTGTTTCTTTAATTGCTTATTTATTTTCTAATGAGAGAGAAAGGTTGAATTTGGGTGGGTAGGGAGGTGGGCAAAATCTGGGAGGAGTTGGGAGAGGAGAAACTAAAATCAGAATATATTGTATAAAAAAATCTTAGATAAAATTAATATTATAAGCAAAACCTTACAAACATGTTCTTCTGAGGTTTTCTTTAAAAAGGAAAATAAAAATGAGTGTGTCATGTACAGCTGCTGTCACGTCTACTTGAACAGTCATCTCTGAACATTCTCCTGTTGGCTTCAGTGAACCCTAGATGGAGAAAAATTGCCCATTCCACTTTTTCTTTCCTCATTCTGTAAAGCCTTAGCAACCCATTGGGTAGTATATAGATGTTGTACTAATGTTTCCTGTATCTACATCACAACAGCTTTTACAAAATATGTGCATGCACACGCGTGCGCGCACACACACGCGCACACACACACACACACACACACACACACACACACACACACACACGCAAAACTATACATGTATACAGAGGCCAGAAGATGGTGTTGAATGTCCTCCTCTATCATTCTCTGTCTAGTCCCTTGAGGCAGGGTCTCTCCCTGAACCTCATGATAATGTTTACTTGATAGGTGCAGAGACAACAAGCTCAAACAGCCATCCTCTTCTCTTTGCTGCCTTGGGGCTCAGAGTACAGGCATTAGCCAATACCCAGCTTGTTAAGTGAATGCTGGGATCTGAACTCCAGTCCTCTTGACTGCACAGCAAATGCTTCTGTCTAATGTGATCTCATTTCAAATCACAACTTGTTAAACTGTGTGTTGTACCCTCATATGGGTTTCATGAGATGACATTAAAGGTTTCTGAATACTTAATGCCCCAAAATTAATGCAAAAGCAAGCATGTCATGAATCTGAAGTGTTTGTGGAAGGGATGCTCCATGTTGCATCTCCTGGCTGTACTCTAGTCTTGGGTCTGAACACACATGTGCACTTTACACTGCACATGCCATCATGCCATGCAGCACTAATAAAGGCTTCCTGAAACACCTCTGTTCAGCTTGAGTGTATTATGTGCTATGAATTGCAGTGTCTTTACTCAACAAAAACTTCCTGCTTTTAAAGAAGCATAGTGATTTAATCATAGAAAACAATGTTTTTCTATCATCATTCTTAGTCTATCACTATAAAACACTGTTCTGTTGTTTCCCTTACAAAGGAGAAAAGGGAAAAGGAAAATGAATGCATCTAGATCTTAGAATATTTGATTTTTAAAAACTGGTTTAACAGGACTGGAGAGATGACTCAGCAGTTAAGAGCACCAACTGTTCTTCTAGAGGACCCAGGTTCAATTCCCAGCACCCACATAGCAATTCACACCTGTCTGTAACTCCAGTTCCAGGGCCTCTGACACCCTCATATAGACACATACCAATCAACATAAAATTTATATATATATATGCATATATATATACATACATACATATATACCTGTGGCATAAGTCATAAACTCAAGCAATACAAAAAGTATTAAATGATTTTTGGCTTGAAATTAACACAGAATGTTCAACACTTTCTGGTGTGGCCCTAAACATGTTGGAACATTTGTGTCATCCAGTCCTACATATTCATAGGAAGTGTTGTTCTAAGCATGCACAATTATAAAAGCAAAGTAGTGTCCTGATGGGAGATGTCATTCTGTAAATATGTTTCTCTTATTGGTTAATGAATAAAGCACTGTTGGCCAATAGGAAAGCAAGATAGGCAGGACTAGGAGACTAGGAGGAAAGAGGAAGAGGTAGGGAGGAGATTCAAGATGGATAATGGAGAGAGAAGAATGCCAGGCCCTCTCTCCAGTAAGATAAGACCACGTGGCATTACTTAGATTAATAGAAATGGGTTAATAATTAAGACAGACCTAGCTGATAAGAAACTAGTAACTGACCTACAGCATTATATCAAATATAGGGTCTCTGTGTATTTTTTGGGGCTGGTGCAGCACTATCAAATTTTCAAGCAGGATTTAAATGTTTATGTAAAAATAAACAAGTACATCCATCTCATTACCATAAAAACTTGCTTTTCTCCTTAGGAGTACATGCATACCAAGAATTGTTTTCAAATAGTTTTTTTATGATTTATTATCAATAAATGTTTGGTTTGTATAGCTATTTTACATATACATTATATATGTGTATATGTATGTTACATGTATCTACATATATTTGCATGTATGGTATATGTATGTGTGTATGTGTATATATTCAAATTAATATAAAGTTTCTTGAACAAAAATGAGTGATTAGTGGAAAAGTTTAAGAAGCTCTGATTTAATGGCACCAAACATTTGGTACAAAGACAAAAAAGTATGGTATAACCAACCTGTCCTATAAACCAGTTCATGAGATAGGAATAAACAATAGGTGATGACAATTACACAACATCAAGTAACTTGTCTCCAACAACCATGAGTATGAACGTGTGTGTGTGTGTGTGTGTGTGTGTGCCGTGACTGACAGAGGAAATGTGTTCTGCAATCATTTGCCCATCCAAAATAGATAAAACTCAACAAAATATATTGTTTATTTTACTGGTAATTCAACATAGGAGGGGCACTGGGAAATACCTAAAACAGAAAAATCACCTATCCCTTGAGACCTGTACGACCCACAATATTGGGTAAAGTGATGCCATTCTTGGTTCTGGGACCCACACTTTCTCAGACTGACCCACTCTATTTACAGATTCCTGACTCTCCTTTCTCTTTTCTCCAAGCATATCCAAGCAGAATACTCTATTGAAAGTGTTCTAATTCCTATGCCAATATGGCCCTATCCTATTGAACATTAGGTCCAAGACCAGCCTTGGGACTTTAAGCATCTCATACTTCCCTTTCCACATCCTTGCCTCTCTTCTTGGGAATCAGAACATTCTGACCCACAGAACCAGATATGCCTTTGTGCATACTCAGGATGCTGGGGTCCTCCCCTGAGGACCTCTATTCCTATACCAGGCAGACATTGGAGCTGAGCTGATCTGGATTGTTTCTTTCTCCTCTACCATACATTAGCTATTGTGATCCTCTGTGAGCTAGTCTGATTCAGAGACTTTATCCTCTAGCCTAAGAGATGACACTAACCATAGGAATTTGCTGGACTAGTAAAGACAAAGACACAGGTAAAGCAATCATTACCACACCTGGACCTGTTATAGAAACAATCAACCAATAGTCAGTCACCCTTTCTGACCATCTGTCCTTTCCCTCAGTCTGAGCAACTTCTGAGTCCCTTTATTCGAATTCCCATAGATACCCTCATTTTGGCTGCAGCACCCAGACTGAGAGCTTCAACTACTACATCCTCACACTTACCCCTATGTATCAAACATTCATGTCCAACCTACATACCCTGGGCTGTCTACCTGTCCCTGGAGATAGCTATGAAAGTATCCCAAACTCAAATAGAAAACTTGCCTAACACATCATCGTGAGATTTGAGGGGAGAGGTAACAGCACGAGAGGGGGTAAGTACAAGCATAAACATCACAGATAATAAATGTCTGTGTCACAAGGTGAGACATGCCTGGTTAGGCACAGATAATTTAATTGCAGAAATGCTTGATTTTTTTTTATGCTGAGAGGGGGCAGTACGTAGCAACATTTCATCACCACCTGATTCTCACGATATTCCTACAACTAGAATAGTTACTCCTATTTTCAGATAAAGAAATGAAAACTTTAACTTGACCAAAAGTTAGAACGTAAGAAAATATTAAGGCACTCAAAACTGTTAAATTCCTAAGTGCCTGGATGTACTTGTGCTTATTTTCATTCAAAGTACAGAGGCTGTGGTTTTGATTGCTTGTAACTTCCCAGTAAAGTGCACTGCTGAGCAAGTAGACATAAACAGGACAGGTGTTTCTTAAGAGAATGATGGAAGCTGAAACTTGAAGCCTCTTTGGGCGGGGAGCGTTCTGGACGACTGCACCCAGCTAGAAGCTACTCTCTCACTTCCAAAGTTGGAGCTCTCCTTGGTGGGAGGGGGCGGGGGAGGAGGGGAGGCCAGTGACGTCACTCAGCAGCAGGGATAAAACTCCCGACAACTTTCCCAGCTAGGTCGCAGCCTGGGGAACTAAGTGGATTGTCCGGTTCCGGGACAAGCAGTGTGCACCCATCGTTGGACCCACTCGGAGGAGGGCATCATGCCCCAGAACGTGGTCCTCCCGGGCCCTGCGCCCTGGGGCTTCAGACTCTCGGGGGGCATAGACTTCAACCAGCCTTTGGTCATCACCAGGGTAGGTGTTTTCCGTTCTGATTTTTGCCACAGGTCACCTGGCTTCCTGAGGCACTGCAAGTGGCCCTGAAGCTAGAGAAGAATAGTCTAGAAGCCTGGGGAGGAAGGCAGGATAGTGCGGGGATGGGGGGCGGGTGAGCTTCTGGCTCCCAGTTGGACTTCAACAACAAGCTGAAAAGATGCAAAGCACTATTGAAATTTAACCAAGTCTGCTCACATCCAACATCCCTTTTTCTTGGACCCCCAGCCACATTTCCAGGAGAGGGCAACTGACAGTTCAAGTTTCTGGGCTCAGGGGAGGGTGCCAGAGCTGGAGGTGCTTCGGGCTCTCCCCACCCGACTTCCTTTCACATCAAACAGATGCAGGAGAAAGAGATACTAAGAACTCGAAGATATTTTGTAAACTTGCACCTGAACCATTTTCTTGCCTGGATGAGAACTTCAGCAGGGTGCTCTTCACAGGGAATAGTATGGATTGGCCAAGTTGGAACTGCTCATATCAGCCTAGACAGGGAAAATATTACTAATGTGTATTCCTCCGTTTCCAGGCATTTTGAGTAAACATTTTCCAAAGCTGGGAACTTGGCTGAAGGAGCATTACCTATAATTCAAACTACAAAGAAAACCTGTGCGATAATTTATCTGACAGAGAACAACACTCAGGCTAATAACTGAAAAGACTTCAGTAGCAAAAGCAAACTGCCTTATCCCATGTTATCTAAAGCAGAACCCAAACAGAAGAAGGGTGTGAAGATAAACCTGGGGTTCCTTTTCTGCCAAGCAATTTCTAGAATAACTGTAAAGCACTATTTAGTCTAATTGATAGTTTCTCAGTTTTTTTGAAAGCAATCACTTCAGTTACCACACGCAAGCCATTTTAAACATAAAGGCATAAACTTTCAAATATTATGATTTTATTTTCCAAATGTTATACTTCTCTTTCTGCTCATACTATATTTTATGAATGCATGCTTTATAATCTGACCATTCACAAATCTTTGAATAATGCAACACATGTATGTCAATATCATTTGGGAAACACTCTGCATGTTTAAAATCTCAGAGCATGTATCATAGAGATGCACGCAACGGGTCATTTGAAGATTTGTTTTACATTTTTCAAAAACATATAAACACGCCTGACATGTGTTTTTATATGAGACATGAAAACATACCCCCCAGAAATGCTCTTAAGTAAATTAAGCAGCAAATACTTCCGTGATCTGGGCCAAGCAATTCCTTTTATAGATTTACCAAAGAAAACAGTTCTACTGTTTCTACTAAGAAATATGCTTAGTTTACACAGTTTCACTTGCTCATATTAAATAACAGGAGCTCTTGAATCCTAACAAAGAATAAACCATATTTAAATTAAATCCTAAAGAATGAATTATGTCATAAAGACCCTTGAAGAAACTTACAAAACAATTAATCTACAATTAGTCTGTAACATATCTACCTAATGAATCATATGTTAGAAATTTTGGATTGTTGACACTAAAAACAATATTATCTTAAAGCAATTTCATCTGCATTTGAACTATGAAGACTATTAGTGAATGGATTTGATGTAATGACAATTCTATTTGAAGAGCCATTCTGTCTTGGATTTCTAACTCATATTTAATCTGTGCCACAACTCTAGACAGTTGATTCAATAATAGACCAGACATTATTTATTTAAAGTACGCCTTTTCAATTATTTTTACTTCTAGGGCACAGATAACACTGAACTGTTTGACACCAATTGTCTCTAAAGCCATGTATGTCAGGAATTCTTGCTGAATAAATGCATACCTACTCATTTGGGCTTTTATGCCTTCATTGAAACTTACTAAGAATATGTCCACTGAAATTACAGAGGCATTGGAAATTATTTGGATAAAAACCTAGGAGGATTTAGTCAAAACTAACTGCTGTTACTACATAGTGGGATCATTCGATTTTGTAATTTTAACATTATTCTAGAACGCATTGGCTAATACTGTGTATACTGTTATATTTTTTTGCTTAGTACACATTCTTCTAAGACTCTTATTTGGTGACTCACTTCAAGCTCACAGCATCCCTATAAGCGCAAAAAGAAAAGGGCTTCCTTTCACAGATTAGAGGAATGAGGCTTCAAGGTGATCTTCAGCGCACCAGTGATTACAAAGGGGGACCAGGTCCACCTTGCTCCAGTGCCGACACTCTTTAAGTCCACACATGACAAAAATGTCCTTCACTGTCTCTTGTGTCCCAATATGTCAGTGATCTCGTCTTCTCCTTCAAGGTCCACCTTCTGTTCTTCTGGTTGCTATCTTTATTCAAGTCTCATAACTTCCTGCCTAGAAGCCTGCCTGCCTTCTCCAGTTCACCCTGTATACTCTTACCATCCATCTTTGAAAAGTAAAAGGGGCCTTTCATCCTCCCTTTAAACATCCTTCTGTGACATCACTAGTTCATAGAAAACAGAAGATGGCTTTTTACTATCTGTTGTGAATTCCTTCTCTCTCCCTTTCTTCCTCTCACCCCATACACAGACAGTGATGCCACAGTTCTTGTGACCTCCCTAACATGGCTAAGCTTCAGATACATATCACTTTCTCCCATAATTCTTTTCTCTACCCCCCATTCCTTGGTCCTCTCTGCCTATGAAAACCTATTCAAAACTTCTACCCCAATCTCTCCTCTAGTTGTGGTCATTTTATTTACTGCATGATCATAGGTTTCCTTTTGTCCTCTATTATTATCATCATGTCTATACCACAGATACTTAAGCATACCCCACTCCATCACTTGATCCTTGAGAGTAGGAACCTTTTACACTGGAAACTGTTCAATACTATCATCATATATGCTATAAAATAAATATAACCATAATATGAATGACTAATTTGCCCACATTTTACATAACTGTATCACCATAAATAGGTAAATTGTACTCTCAAAATATCACTTTACAATAAAGGTGACTATTTGTCTGTTTGGTTAAATTCTTAAAGACACAAAAGACTGAAATGCTAAAAGCCATACTTACTGTCACAAGACAAACCTTCCATACACAAGAGGTATTTTCACGAGTCATTTAAGTCTGTTCTTGTCCTCTTAGAAGCTGGTTTGTATGTACACTTCCTGACCTGCTCTGTATAAATACAGACTATGGAGGGTCCCCAATTCATGGCACTGCTACTTTATAATTGTGTGAAAGTGACACACCTTCAGTTCAGACTATACTTAAAGAGTTTTTGGTGTGTGCCTGGGCTAGCAACTGGCAGTGTGCTTCTCTGTCTTGATGCTAGATAGTGGTATAGCTAGCAACAGCCACATGACCAGAAGAGCAACAATAAACCTCTACAGTGTATTGCTCCGCTCCACATTAGGCTATAGGTTTAATATATTAAATGTTTGTTAATTTATGTCAACTGCATAAAGAAGTTGCAAAAGATTGGGATGTAACCTCATGCTACATCAAGGAGCTTCTAGATAGCAATGATCCCTAGGAGGCAATAGAGTTCCAACCAAAGCTTGTGGAAAAGCTACTGATGGATAGAATCTGAGCTAGGCATGCCAACTTCTTAGTCTCTTATCCAAAGAATTGAAAATAGAGGCTCACAAGAACTTGCAAAAGTAGCAAGATAACTTCATTCAGAGTACTGTTTACAGAGGGAGGCATTGTCAAAACCGACAGTGGGCCACATTAGTAAGACTACTCAAGGGACTGCCCCCCATCATTGTTCTATGCCTCTTTTATAGGATTTAGAAGGATTTGGTTACCAAAGGGTGTAGTTTGGGTAGTTCTCTATGTTGATTGATAGATTAGGATATATACTCATTTTTTTTCTGCTGTGCATGTCAATTCCTATAATGCAGCTGGTTTTAATTATATTCATAGCCAATTCTACATACATATAAGATGGTGAGTAGGAAACTCCTAAAAGTTTACTAGGAAACACTGTTTTGCCTTATTGTGCAAGTATCCAAAGCCAGATCAAGGTGAATCAGCCCTTCTATTCACACACTTTTGTGATGGGAATACTCTTGAATAGAGAGTCTCTAAATTTGATTGCTAATGGGGATGAGAAAACTCATACCATTCATAGAGATGGGAATGCGTGGAGCCTGGTATAGGGCAGAAGAAAGGTTCTAGAAAATTCTAAGGTTACTAAATACACTGTTTGGAGTGGGGGAGGTGCATAGTATGTACAAGCAAAGGAACTAGGCTGCCAAGTATATTATTGCTATCAGGGGTGCTGGGGAGTACATAACCAAACTTGGGATCCCCAGCTGCTAAACTGTTTGTTTCCTATGCTCTCCTGCTTCAAGATAACATGTTACTCCCTCTGTCAGCAGAAATATCAGTTCACAAAGTTAAGACAAAGAGTTTCTGTCCCATAATTAGTCACAAACCTACTTATCATTGCAATAACTCTTAGTATACTTTGAAAAAAACACATGCACAAAAGGCAGGAAAATAAACCACCAGACCCAAGGCTTTCTAGACAATACATGCACTATACTTTGTGTATGATAAAATGTAGGCTTGGGATGTTCAGTTGAAGGGAGAATTGTGGTTCAAATTTGAAATGCCCCACACTGCATTGTATTTTGAAGACTGCATCTTTAGATCAGAGTGAAATGTTAGAAAGTGGAACCTAGCTCATGGATGCAGTCACAAGGACCAAGCCTTCAAAGTTAAATCTCAATACCCCCCACCCCCACCCCTGCCTAGGAAGCCCTCTACCCCTTCAATGGGTTATCCTGCCAGATATCACACAATGATACAAAACTACTAGAGAGTGATTATTTCACACGTCTTTGTGAGCTTCTTTGGTTTTTCTTGAAAGGAGATCCTAAGGGTTCTTCTGGAAGTTTCTTGACCAACCAGGAAATGGGTTTACTCTCACAGACAAGTCACAAATGGTTGACATTTTTTAAATTCCTATATGGAAGTCAGCACGAACTCAAGTTGTTCATATGTCATGAAATTGGTGTATACCTGAGGCTGGTATGTTATTCCCT